CATCGCAGGGGCTGCTCAGCCATCTAGTATAAGTTGTGAAAGTTGATAAGTTGATAATAAACCAAAATAACTGTTAAAATAAATGTCTACTTGTTTAGATTATAATAGCTTAGTTGTTTTAGGTTTAAACAATAAGTCATACTGAAAACGATGTCCTAAAGGTGACCCTTTTTGGTTTATTTCACTTAATCACTTGGTCAGTGTTACACGTGTCAATTATCACTTAACTCGGCTGTTTGGTTTCCTCCTTCACTATTTTGGCAACCCTTCTCCTCAACCAAACACACAATGTTATGTAACGCACATTTCACATAGTATCCGTGCTGATTGTTTGTGCGACACAATACACAATGTAAATAGCTACGCTTTTTTAATTAAAAAAAGAATAGAGTGAAAAGTGAACGTGCTCGAGGCTCTCATGCTTGTGTCAGTGCAAGCGTCAGGCAAAGACTTTGAACGCTTGGTTGACTGGGAGAGCAGGCAACAATTGGCCTTTTTGCCGCATTTTGGCAGTTCCACTTTGAAGCACTCTCATCAGTGTCAACGGTGTCAGTTTCTCTATTTTTATTGGCCCTAGTGCTCTCTTACTCTGTTTCACTCTCTCTTTCTCCGTTTTGAAACACACAACCTCACACAGTCGCGTAATCGCACTCCATTTATGACCCCTCATTTTGGTAGTCTCCCTTTGTTGGTGTCCTCTTTTTCACTTTTTTTAATTGGCACAGATCTCCTCTGCACAGGACACATCGAACAGGCACACAAAAGAAGTGAAGTATCTCGGCCATTGCTAATGGAGTGAGCGAGTTGTGTGTGTGTCATAAAAGAGCGACAGCAAACTATTTTTTTGGTTTGCTATAACGCCACCAAAGCCTGTTGCATTTATATTTTTTGCTCAATCATTTGAGTCAACTAGATTGTTGCTTTCTTTACTTTTTTTTCAGTGGCCAAGTAAGTGGACACAAAAGAAGAAAAAAACAAAAAGCAATGACTTGGGGAATTAGCATACTGCTCTTGTTAATTTCTGTCGGTTTGGTCTGTGCAGAATTCGTGTACCCGGATGTACACAGAGACAGTACAGTGGAAAATTTGCATGGAACTCAGGTAAAAAGTGTTGACGATAAAGGAACTTTTCATTAAAAATGTATTTTTTTAGCTGCCAGACCCTTACCGATGGTTGGAAGATCCAAACAGCAATGAAACGAAGAAGTTCATCGCTGACCAGAACAAGCTGACCTTTGACTTCATCCGAGACAACAAGCACTGGGGAGCTGTTAATAAAAGGTGAGATCTTTAAGTCAGTTGGTCATCTTCATTTCTGTGGCGACATTCTTTCTCACCACTTTCTCTCTTTGAACTAGCTTTGGTGAGCTGTACGACTACGCCCGGTACAGTGTGCCGTCGAAGCAGGGCGACCGGTACTACCTTTCAGTGAACAGCGGTCTACAGAACCAGGCCGTCATCTACAGTCAGGAAACGCTAGATGGCGAACGAGAGCCCTTCTTCGACCCGAACCGCCTCTCTGCAGACGGCACTAATTCGCTCCACTTTACCTCCTTTTCACCGGACGGAAAATGGTTTGCATACGGAATTTCTGAAGGCGGCTCTGATTGGATCACCATCAAGATCATGGATGTGGCCACAAAGGAGGATCTGCCCGAAGTCCTGACAAAGATCAAGTTTGCCTACGTTGGCTGGAATAAAAACAATAAAGGCTTTTTCTATGCGGTAAGTAGATGGTGGTGGTTGGGGTTGGAGTTTGTATAATTTCCTAATTTTTTTGTTTGCTCACAATTGCAACAGTACTACGACAATTACAACGGCACCGGCGATGGTAGCGACACTGGCAAGCCCCAGTACCAGCGCGTATACTACCACGCTCTGAACACGCCTCAAAAGCAGGATATTAACATCTTTGGTTTTGACGACAAGCCGCTCTGGCTGATGTAAGTTTGCGTTTTGAGGGAAAAGAGAAAAACACAGTTTAACGCTTACCAACTCAACCACAGAGGAACGCCCATTGTGAGCGACGACGGCAAGCGTGTGTTCATATTTCCCAGTCCGGGAACCTCAAACACGCCTTGGTACTACGCCGACTTTGACCAGGATAACATTCAGCCACTGGAGTTCAAGCCGATCGTCGAACAGCCCAATGCTGAGTACTTCTACGTCGGCGGCGATGACTTCTGCACCTACATTCGCACCAACTACCTGGCAAAAAACTTTCGCCTGGTCTGCGTGGACCTGACCAATCCGGCTCCAGAGAACTGGGTGGACATCATTCCCGGAGCGGCCAATGAGAAGCACGTTCTCCAGGATACGCTCATTGTTAATTACAACTACACCGTAGCTGTTTACATGATCGACGTTGTCAGTGTACTGCGCATCTTTGACAAGGCCACCGGGCGTTTTCTCTTTGACGTCGACACGCCCATTGGCACCATTGGCTCCATCTCTGGCAAAGCCAAGAGCAATGAGTTTTTCTACAAGATCACCTCTTTCACCTCGCCGGGCACCATCTACCGCTATGACTTTAGCGTTAAGCCAAATAAAATTCGTATCTTTGCCGAGTCAAAAGTGGCCGGCATTAGCGCGGATGAGTACGTAACCGATCAAGTCTGGTATCCGAGCAAGGACGGCACACAAGTGCCGATGTTCCTCGTCCACCGAAAGGTAAGTTTTTTAATTTTTTTGTATGTTTGGTGAATCTGATCATCTTTTGAATATAAAAATAGAGCCTGGTAAAGAACGGCAAAAATCCAACGCTACTGTACGCTTATGGCGGCTTCAACATTGCCATTCAGCCTGACTACAATGCGCTGGGTATTTTTTTTGCTCGCAATCTGAACGGCATCTACGCCGTGGCCAACATTCGAGGCGGCGGGTCAGTGAAAGCGATATCTAAATGATGACCGAACTGTTTTAACCTCCTTTTTCCGATTGTCAATTGCAGTGAGTTTGGCGACGACTGGCACACCGCAGGCATGCTGCTGAAGAAGCAGAACGTCTTTGATGACTTTGCCGCCGCTGGGCGGTGGCTGATCAGCAATCAGTACACCTCACGAGACTACCTCACCACAAGTGGTCGCTCCAATGGCGGCCTGCTGATGGGCGCCACTAGTAATCAATTTCCCGACATCTTTGGCGCCTCTCTCGCCGCAGTGGGGTACGAAAGTGGCTTTTTGGTTAACCCTGTTTTAAAACACTTATAAAAACATGTTCATTTTCTCCTCGTCAGAGTCATGGACATGATCCGCTATCCGCTTTTCACTATTGGCTGGGCCTGGGTGGAGGAGTACGGTGATCCGCAGGGCAACAAGGAGCATTTTGAATACATTTTAAAGTAAGTCGAACAAGTATTTTTTAGAAATAGGGTACTGAATGAAAATAGTGAGTGAAAAAGAAGTAATTATCTTTGCACTTTGGAAACCGGCAGTAAGATTGCAAGTTTAATTATTATTAGCAAGAAAATCGTGATTACCATTAAAGTGCACATACAGATAACATGCGCNTGACAGAGGATAAAAACTGACAACTTTTTTTGTTTTAATTGTAAGACACAAGCAAATGTGTGCAAATTTTATCCTCCAGCTACTCATTTGATTTGTGTGTTTAAACTTTTTGCCTTTTCTCGCACACTTTTCACTGCTTTCTCATTTTGATAGTCATCAATGCA